GCAGTAGAGTTCAATGTCGTAGAGTGGGGTATAGAATCCTTTAGTGTCGTATAGTAGAGTGGAGTGTCGTAGAGTAGAGTAGAGTACAGTGTAGCAAAGTAGAGTCAAGTGTTGTAGAACAAATTGTTGTAGAGTAAAGCAGAGTGTCGCAGTGTAAAGACGGGTGTCCTTAAGAAGAGTGTTGTGGAGTAGAGTATAGCCTTGTAGAGTAGAGTGTTGTAGAGTGTCATAGAGTGGAGTACAATAACGTTGAGTAGAGTGGAGTACAATAGAGCAAAGTAGAGTAGAGTAGAGTAGAGTAAAGTAAAGTAGACTACAAAAGAGTAGAGTGTTATAGAGTACACTAGAGTAGTCGAAAAGTGTCGTAGAGTGTTGTAGAATAGAGTAGACTAGAGTAGAGTAACGCAGAGGGTCGTAGAGTGTCGTCGAGTAGAGTAGAGTATAACGTCATCAGGTAGAGTAGGGTAGAGTGTCGTAGAGTAGAACGTTGTAGAGTGTCTTAGAGTAGAGAAGAGTGTAATAGAGTAGAGTTGAGTAGTGTGGAGTGGGTAAAGTAGAGCACAATGTAGGAGAGTAGAGTAGAGAAGTGTAAAGTATGTAGAGTAGAGTTGAGTAGAGTAGAGTGTCGTAGAGGAGAGTAGTGTAGACGGTCGTAAAGTATCATAAAGTGTCGTAGAGTAGAGTGTAGTATAGTAGAGTGTGTTAGAGTAGAGTAGTCTAAGAGTGTAGTAGAGTAGAGTGTAGTTAAGTAGAGTAGAGTAGAGTAAAGTAAAGTAGAGTAGAGAAAAGTAGGGTGTCGAAGAGTAGAGTGTTGTAGAGTAGAGTGTCGTAGAGAAGAGTAGATTACAGCAGAACAGAGTAGAGTAGAGTAGGGTAGAGTAGAGTAGAGTAGAGTAGAGTAGAGATGAGTAGAGTAGAGTAGAGTAGAGTAGAGTAGAGTAGAGTAGAGTAGAGTAGAGTAGAGTAGAGTAGAGTAGAGTACAGTAGAGTAGAGTAGAGTAGAGTAGAGTAGAGTGTTAGAGATTAGAGTATAAGAGTATAGTAAAGTTTCGTAGATTATAGTGTCGTTGGGTGAAGTATTCAAGTATTGTTGAGTGTCATAGAGCAGAGTAGAGTGGAGTGCAGTAGAGTGTTATAATAATATTGAGTGTTGCTATGTAACTGTTTGAACGCGTTTGACGCGCGTTCGCGTTCAAACGCGTGTGTTTATAGCGCGCATGGGCGCGTTCAAAAACGTTCAATAGCGCCACGTGGCTTACGGTGGGAGAAAATTGAACGAGCGCCCCCCACCGGGTTGCGCGTGTCAAAAGCCACCGGGAGAGCAAGCTGTTTTGGGAAAAAAAAAAAAAAAAAACAACGTATGTGTGTGTGTGTGTGTGTATAAATCAATCAAGCAATCAATAAACCAAAGTTGATTGATTGATTGATTGAGTAAGTGATTGGTTGGCTTTGATTGATTGGTTCGTTGATTGATTGATTGAGTGAGTGAGTGAGTGAGTGAGTGAGTGAGTGAGTGGCTTTGATTCATTGGTTGGTTGATTGATTGATTGATTGATTGATTGATTGATTGATTGATTGATTGATTGATTGATTGATTGGGAGGGGGTTGCCCTCCTCCCTCTCTCTCACACACACACACAAACACACGTGCACGTGAGAGAGAGAGAGAGAGAGGGAGAGAGAGGGCAGAAGTGGAAGCGGGAGTGGGGGGGAGGAGGGTGAGCAGAAGTCTGGGGGAGCAGTAGCATGCGTGTGTGCACGCGTGCGCGCA